GGAGCTAGAGCTTAGTCCCGCAGCGAGGGACCATCTGGTGGGGGACACCTGGTTGGAGTTGAGAGCTTAGGCTTCCGCTGGCCGGAGTAGGCATACGCCTTGAGGAAGGTCGCAGAATGGCGACCGAAACGTCGCCACCTTCGCCGATGGACGCGGCGTCACGCCGCGACAGAAATACGCTGATTGTAGAAACCCACGCTTGTGCCAACGACGGTTCGTTGGCGCTGGATCTCGCCATCCAGCGTGATACGCATCACCGCCATCTGCCTAGATGAAAAACAGAGTACTGCCATCTCTCTAGATGCGTACTGATGACCTTCGCAATTGACGCAATCCGGAATTAACTAACATCAATCTCTACCTTCGCATATTTATAATTTTAAATTGTTGTTAGAATACGAATATGTTTTCTGAGCAACTAATAGTGTTAACACACTTAACCCCAACGCGGACCTTACTCGAGCTTTAACTTTAATTGCTCGAGAGGCAGTTCCACGCCTGTTTATCGTCTCTTCCGCTCACGTTGTGTCCGATATAACATCGCTTTTTGAGCACTGAGCATGTCTGCCTTGAGTGGCTGTATTGTGCTGCCATCTGCTGGCCAATTTGAGATTTATGTTCGCGGGAATACGACCGGTAATGTGACGCGTTTAGTAGTAGTTTGGCAGTGGTGCACGTTACACTGTTACTCTTACGCGTGTGTTATTTTGAGTTTAAAACGTGACTTGCTCACATATTATGACTTTTTCGGAAATTCATGAAGTCAGCTTTCAGAATTAAAATTTGAAAAAATCGTGAGAAAAAAGTTTGGATTAAATATGAAATATTCTAATTTCTGAGAAACAAGTTATATTGTTGTTAGGCAGATTTTCTTATGTTATTCAATGTGCCGAATACATTTCTAAAAATTCGGTAACTTTTTATTAATTTTTTAAATATTGCTTTCATTAGCAAGAACACATGTTAATAAAAAGTAGTGTTTTTGCATTTGTTACCACAAATAATTTACCGATGTCACTTAAAATACATATAAATACTCTGCGATTTCGGGACCCAACGGTCACCAAGCGCCTGGAACGTCAAAAATGTAATTGTGCCATCGTCTTATTCAGCGTTGATTGGCCAATTATACACTTATCAACACATGGTATTGCAGGCTGTATAGTATTTTTAATTAACAAGTCCAGACCGTCTCTTTAAAAAGTTTGCTGTTACGTGAGTTTGGTAATGAGTATACCAACATAATTGTAATTCTTCAGTATGGTATAATAAACGTTATAGAACAGAATTAAACAGTCATTACAATATTTTTTTAAATTAAATATTTATTTTTGTTCCACGATGGTCTGGGTGCGACCCCTTTGACCAGTGTGGTTATTCTTCAGAATTCGATAATATATATTTACATAGAACAAATTAAAATAATAATAAGTACACCTTAATTCGTGTTGAATTTTTGAAATAATTGAGTACAGCTTACCTTTCACATCAATATTAATTGTTCAGAAGATGAATGTTTACATGATTTATTATCATAATCATCATGTTATAGGTTTCTCTTCGTAACATTTCACTAAACCGTCTGTCATCACCCAAAGTTCTTGTCCAAGCATTAGATATACTAAATATATAGAATACCTTCATATAGTAGTACTCTGCAGAATTCAGGGACATCTTGTTTCGGAAGTCAGTCAATGACAACTCAATGGATTTCGCCTTGGGTGGGATACAATTAAGTCAATCAGAAATCTATTCTCACTCCTAAGCTTTGAAACCTAACATTTATTTCTAGGCACACTTTTTTTAAAATTATTAGCCCCAGAGAAGAATATCAGTTCACTTTAGAAAGCAGAGGAGTTAGGAGCAATATAAATCGCTATTTGCCATAAAAACAAGAAGATTCACTTCTGTATCGTAAATATTAAATAAAAATGTGGATGTAAGCATGATCCATAATTTCGCATAAAAAAAGAAGTTACTAGTTTTGTCTCTCAGGCTGTATTGTGAATGAAAAGAAAATAGAACATCTGTGTCTTAAATTCATTATTGTCAGAACATAATTCTAATTTTCCCAAAAACTGCAAATTCGTTTTGACTTTAAATGCAGTGTATAGAAATGGATTTTTATAAACCCTTATTTAAGACATTTTGTAACTAAACAAATCATGAAAGAGATATTGCTGAGGAATTATAACAATAACACATCAATTAAACACTCACTTTTTTTGATAAGGAAAGAGGACTAAAACTAAACGAAAAATAAGCTTTCATTTCTGTGATTTTTCAATGAGAAAAATAAAGACTATTGTAAAAATAAATACCACTTCTTAGGCGAAATAAATATTCTCAGTCCGAAACTTCTTTTTAATTTCATTGCAATAAAAAGGTTTCCAAGAAGAGGGAAAACAGCAGACTCAATTAATCACAAGTGCGAATTAGTTAATCTCTTCTCTACAAATTTACACTTAATGGGCAATGATGCCAAAACATAATTTATTAAAAAATCGGCATATATTGTACGGAATTGAGAATGTTCTTCCGCGTAAATATTCTCAGAAATTTTCAGTTCTAGAGCACTTTTCACCAAGCACAAGTTTTCTTTTTCCGAGACACGATTTAATTTCAATCAAATTGCCAACTTTCGATTGCGGTAAGAGGAAGTCGGGATGTTATTCATTAACATTCCAAATATCTGCTTTCTGGCTACAGCAGCGCAAAAAAAGAGCCATTGAGCACGCAAGAATCACTAACCAAATTAATTAGCAAAAGTTTTCCTAAAATTAAGTTGTTATTTCCATCATCCCAATTTTAATTAATAACTCTTTTTTATATTGAATAACCAATAAATCATCACACCAAGGAATTATTAAAAACTTGAAATTCGACATTCGTAAGTTTACGTATACCCCAAGGGAGAATAATCATTTCTCCAAGGGATCGATGATTAAATAGCACATTATATTAATTTGTTATTTATTTCATTATTTTATTTATTTAATGTCTGCCTTAGAAACAACTTAGGTCATTGACGAGTAGATTGACAAAATGTCAGTCCTTACAAATAAAAAAACATTGCTCACAGCCGTGAAACACAAACCTTAGCACAACGAATCGTATTGGTTTTTCGTGTCTTCATTATTGTGGGAAAGTTACCAGCCTCCTATGCAGCCTCGACAAATATTTGAACGTATATGTTCTTTGGTTTTCCGATTTTATTACTTTCATCTCTATCTGCGATTTTCTCTTGCTTTAATGTTAGTTTGACAAAGATCTCGAAGCTGACAATAATAATACTTGTCCACACCGTCCCACACAAACATAACGACTGAAACTCCACATTTTTTAAGATCTAATCTTTTTCCAAAGGAAAGATGCTCTTCCTCTTTACTTTCTCCGAATCATTAATAAAAGTCCGAATTATGGTCGAAAATTCCGACCTTGCCAGATGTGTAACTAAGGAATTTGTTTGAAAGGTAAATTTCAATGAGAAAAACCACGCATTACCTCCATACGCAATAGCACTGCGTGTGTATATATTTAGGGAGCACTAATCCGACATTAACCTATCTTCAGCCAACCAACGCCACGAATATTCACTGCGTATGCGTGCATGGTTTGGCAGGAAACCCGGGGGATATATATTTTTGGAAAACCCTAACCATGACCAAAATATGGGGTCCCTTAATAATAAAAAAAAAATAGATGTTAAAATAATGAAATCATGATTAAAAAAATAAGCCATAATTTGGAATTTTAAAAATTCAAAATAATTAAATTTAAAATATTTAAAATATTTGTGAACTATCAAAATATTAGTGTTTTGCAAAATCTGTTTAGAGGCCCCTCGCGCGGCGGGGCCTGCTGCAGTATCATGCACCATGCGAACTTCTGGCGGCGGCGCATCGTGCGAGGAGAAAAGGCGGAGTCCATAGCGACCGTGGTCGGGCGTTGCGCGCTCACAGGCAGACGCGCGAGCGACGTGACGGCGGAGACGGAAGCGGGTGGCAACCTTGAACCCTCGGCCGCCGGGCGCGACTCCCGAGCGCGCCCTCGCGCCCCGCCTCCACTGCCTTTCGCCGCCCCGCCCCGCCGCGCCCGCCCCGCGCCGCCGCCGCCGCCGCCGCCGCCGCCGCCGCCACCGCCACCGCCGCCGCCGCCCCTCTCCCGCTCCTCCTCCGCCCCACCACCACCTCCGCCGCTTTCTCCGCCCAGAACCCGTCGGCCAGGGCGTTGCGCAAGCGCAAAATGGGCGCGCGGACTGCCGCCGGACCCTCTCCTGACGCGCTGCGCGTTGGCGTAATGCGCCGCCCCCGGCCGAGAGCGCCGCGCGGGCTCGAAGCCGCGACCCGCGCGGCGGCGACCTCGATTTCCTGCCCGCCCTTTGCTGCTTTTGTAGCAGGCGATTGGTCTTCTTTATTTCTCTTTGTGAATTAAGTTATCTATATTCCGAAATAACCACAGAGGCAGAAACTGAAAAACACAACCTTTCTTCTTGTGACATATCTAATATTTCGTTACTCAGCGATAATTTGATTCAAAAATAGTCAAATATTAATTGTGTTATTCTGCCTATTCTCGTACTTAGTGCGTGAGTGTGACACGGCTTAACGTCATGCACTGGCAAGTCTTCAAGGAACGAGTCTCCGACATTAAAATATTGCTATCACATGTTCGCGTTGTATGAAAAAGCAAACTTAAAAAAACGATGTTATGTATACACAAAACTGTATTATTCCAGATTGTTGAAGACTTTTTATTAAAATATGTAATTTATCGCAGTGTTTAACGAGAGAAATTTATTTATTTTATTTATTCCTGCGCAGGTGCGGCTCCGATTTTCCGAAACCATTCTGTTGTGAATTGGTTTCAGCACCTTTTCGCTGCCGCAGGTCCTATTAATATTCTCTAATATGAATATCTTTATGTTATATGGCCCATATTGCATGTAGTCTCTAAAAGACTGTATCCAAATATTTTAGCAATAAGGCATACAATGTTTGCTACTTAACCGTCATTCAGCCAGCGTGCCCTTGTGGCATTCTATTTGGGGACGTCTTGGTTGCGGATTTAGTCTCGCCCACAAAGGAACTAAAGTAGGGTTTTTTCCGTAAAGGGAAGAACGCGGAACGGAGATCACAAGGCTTGGGTTCTTCGGCTTATAGCATCTGCTTTCACTGTTATAACAGCGAAGGGGTGGTCGTGACGTAGGAGGTCACGTGGGCCTCGCCTATAATAAACCAGCGTGTAGCAGGAGCCATTAAGGCAGGTTCTGGAGACGGTGTGGGAAACCTCGTGCGTGGCACAAAACTGGCGCCAAGGACGGCATTATGCCGAGCCCAGGCTCGCGAGGCTGGAGTCATTAGTTGACGAGCCTGCCGGACCTTTTATGTCTTGGGTGACTGCGGTCACGGGGGAGCGATGCTGTGTGCGTGCTCGCGAGTGTGAAGAGTGCGTTGAGTGGCCACGATTCAACGCCGATTCTAAATCGGCATAGCGCTCCTGCGATCGAGGCAAACACCGTTGGTTGCGCAGAACGGACTTTTGTGTCCCCAGCGTGACATCCGGTCACGGAAGCTAGGCTTTGTGCGCGCCCTTCAAAAGTAGAGTGGCGGATGCCACAATCAAAACCATCTTCAATCGGGTTTGGATCGCTCCCGCGAATCAGGGATTAGTAGGTCTATCAGAGCTACAGGGTTTAAGTAGAATTATTAAGGTGTAATTATTGTTTTGTTTTTCTTGTTAAAATATATTGTGATACGAAACTCTGTTGGTCTGTGGTCGCTGTGAGTAATCCATGACGTCAACACTACCTTTGGAGCGGAGTTTGTTTTTAACTTACTGTACGGAATTGAAACGCCCTCAAACGCAAATATATCTATCCGACATTTCAACACATCGACAATTTTGGTCAACATTTCTTTATTTCAATGCTCCTAATAACTGTAATATCATTTCAGTCTAATGAAACTGCTAAATAATGAAGATACGTTCAGAAGAGAAAAATGAAGTAAATCAGCTGAAGGGACAAGACAGAGACACATGCTACGGGTAACATTCAGGCGCAACTTTATCGATCGCTATTGAATCTAATGGTTTTCTGATGAAATATTTAAATGAAAATAAAGAATGTACGATGAAGTAAGATTATGGTTATTGATTCTCATGCCAGATTTACGAGAGAGAGACGAGATTGATGTACGAGACATTCTTGTACGATAATGGTGAAAAATATTTTTTCTGTATTTGAAATTTTTGAAAACCGTTTTTAGAATGTGGTGTGAACCAATTTAAGAAAACTAAAAAGAATTAATCACCCAAGGAAGGTGTTTTATAATATATTTTTTAAAATAGTTGTCTCCCGCTGTTACTGACGTATAATTCTTTATACAAGTGCAAGCTTTCTTCACACTATAGCTCCATCTTTCAAACGAGACGTTTAAGACAAGTCTGAGACGTTTCATGGCACGATTATACACCTGCTGAAAATCGTGACTATCTTCCGATGGTGTTTATCATTAAACTTTGTTTGCTGTATCATTGTGAATCAATCTCTATGACACTGTAATACCTTAGTAGCTCCTCTTAGCAAGCAAATGTTATGAGGGGCGTATTTCACCGAAACACAAAAATTCTGCCATATTTCCAGCATTTGAGAGTTCCGTCTCTTCAAAAACTTCGAATACCTACAAAATGAGGACTGCTTTCATCGCGCCAAAAAAAAGATACACGCTACAAGCAATAAACTCCTGTTGATCGAAATGATTGAAATAGCACTTCGATGTGAGAAGCTCGTCCCTAAAGGATTTTTCCTCGCTTATGATGAATATTTGAATATGATTAGCGTAATACGTGTCACGATCAAAGCCAACCCATCAGTGGTCGTGAATCAGCTGATTTGAGATCAGCGCGTTGCAAAATAGCGGCCGACCAGTCGTGCCAATAGGAGCACCATCCAGCTGCCGCCGCCCCCACCCCACCCCGCCAACGTTCCCGCACCGCGCCCCACCACCGCCCGCGCCTGTAGAGTGACTGGCCAGCCTACGGCGTTTGTCGCTGCATTCCCTCACTGGTTGTCTGTCTTTTCCTTTCTGCGCAAACTGTTGCTCTAAGTACTGCGAGGCCTTAAGACCTTCTGAACAGTTGTCCAGATCTTCACATAGACTGGGCGATTTGGCTTTAGTTCATTGGAAGCATCAGCAGTTATAACATTCTTGGTGACAACAATGTTGTAGATGTCCTGACCCTATTTTTAAAGTGTACATGCTATTAAAATTAAAGGATAATCGTTATTGGATGGGATACGTATAAAACAACAACAAACAAAACTAGAGTTATTCTCAAAGATTATCCTTACATATTTATAGAATATTAAAAATATTCTGGATCTTCCTCTATTTCAAACAGGAATTAGTGGGTGTTCGTTTAACCTTCGCATTTCATAATTCCATCACAGAAAACTCATAATTAGGTTGTGAACAAGCCGTTTGGCCTTATTTATAACTCAAACGCTTTTCACTTCATTTGAATTAGGAAAGTCCTAATTTCTGTAATAATCATGTCATCAGCGCAGAGCAAAAATGCCAATAACTTTATCTGGGACTAATGAATACTTTTATATTTGATCCTGTGATTAGTTTTCTAATATATATGTATTCATTGCTAAGAGATTCAACTTTGATCTTCATATTTCATCATTTTCTTTTCTCGCAAAAGCAACCAAGTGTCACTTTCATCATTATGCCCCACGACCTCTGTTTTCCTCTGCCGTCTACATTACCAGGACGTCTCACGTCTCACTACATCAAGCTTCCCCTTCAACGCATCTGCAACCGCGATCACACCATCACCGGCATCACCATTATCATCATCACCACAATCCCATCCACCGCGCATCCCACACTCTCCCATCACTTCCTCCAATTACTGCAGTTACTCATATTATCTCCATCCCCACCAGAAAACCCGAATCGCCCTCAGCATCGGCCTCCACCCGTCGCCGGCGCTGTGTCGCGCCCGGCGTTCCTTCCGCGGGCCGGGGTGGGGTGGGCGAGGTGGGGTGGGGGTGGGGCCACCCCACCCCCGCCCGCGGAAAGGAACGCCGGGCGCCGACACAGCCGCCGGCGAGGGTGGAGGCCGATGCTGAGGGCGATTCGGTTTTCTGGTGGGGATGGAGATAATAGTAACTGCAGTAATTGGGATGGAAGTGATGGGGAGGTGGTGATGCCGGTGATGGGATTGGTGGTGATGATGATAATGGTGATGCCGGTGATGGTGTGATCGGGTTGCAGATGTTGGAAGGGGAAATGTGATGTAGTGAGACGTGAGACGTCCTGGTAATTAGGCAATGAAAACAGAGGTCGTGGGCATAATGATGAAAAAGTGACACTGGTTGCTTTTGCGAGGGAAAAGAATGATGAAATATGAAAGAATCAAAGTTGAATTCTTTAGCATGTGAATAATATATATTAGAAACTATCACAGGATCAAATTAAAAGTATTTCATTAGTCCCAGATAAAAGTTATTGGCATTTTTGTCTGCGCTTGATGACATGATATTACAGAAATTAGGACTTTCTAATTCAAATGAAGTGGAAAAGGTTTGAGTTAAAATAAGGCCAAACGGCTTGTTCACACCTAATTATGAGTTTTCTGTGATGGAATTATGAAATGGAAGGTTAAAACGAACACCCACTAATTCCTGTTTGAAATAAGGAAATCCAGAATATTTTTAATATTCGTATAAATTGTAGGATAATCTTTGAGAACTAACTCTAGTTTGTTTGTTGTTTTATACTATCCCATCCAATAACGATTATCCTTTATTTTAATTACATGTACGACTTTAAAAATTTAGTCAGACATCTGACAACATTGTTGTCACCGAATGTTATACTGCTGTAGCTGCAATGAACTAAAGCCAAATCGCCCAGTCTATGTGAAATCTGGAACAACTGTTCAGAAGGTCTTTAAGGCCTCGCAGTACTTAGAGCAACATTTGCGCAAAAGAAAAGACCAGACACCAGTGAAGGGAATGCAGCGACAAACGCCGTAGGCTGCCAGTCACTCTACAGGCGCGGGCGGTGGTGGCGGCGCGGGCGGGAACGTTGGCGGGGGCTGGGGTGGGGGCGGCGGCAGCTGGATGGGTGCTCCTATTGGCACGACTGTCGGCCGCATTTTGCAACGCGCTGATCTCAATCGCTGGATCACGACCACTGAATGGGTTGGCTTGATCGTGACACTATTACGCTAATCATATTCAAATATCATCATAAGCGAGGAAAATCCTTTAGGACGAGCTTCTACATCGAATGCTATTCAATCATTTCATCAACAGGAGTTTATTGCTTGTAGCTGTGTATCTTTTTTTGGCGCATGAATCAGTCCTCATTTTTGTAGGTATTTCGAAGTTTTGAAGAGACGAACTTCTCAAATGCTGGAAATATGGCAGAATTTTTGTGTTTCGGTGAAATACTCCCCTCATAACATTTGCTTTCTAAGAGGAGCTACAAGGTATTTACAGTAGTCTAAGAGATTGATTCACATGATACAGCAACAAAGTTTAATGATAAACACCATCGCGAAGATAGTCACGATTTTCAGCAGGTGTATAATCGTCCATGAAACGTCTCAGACTTTCTAAACGTTTCTCGTTTGAAAGATGACTATAGTGTGAAGAAAGCTGCACTTGTATAAAGGAATTATACGTCAGTAAGCGGGAGAAGTACATTTTAAAAAATATATTATAAACACCTTCCTTGGGTGATTAACTTTTTAGTTTTCTTAAATTGTCACACCACATTCTAAAACGGTTTTCAAAAATTTCCAAGATACAGAAAAAATATTTTCACCATTATCGTACAAAATGTCTCGTACATCAATCTCTCTCTCTCTCGGTAATTGCATGAGAATCAATAAATAATCTTACTTCATCGTACATTCTTTATTTTCATTAAATATTTCCATCAGAAAACCATTAGATTCAATACGATTCAATAAGTTGCGCCTGAATGTTACCTAGCATTTTCTGTCTTGTCCTTCACTATTTACTTCATTTTTCTTCTTCTGAACGTATCTTCATTATTTGCAGTTCATTAAGACTGAAATGATATACAGTTAATTAGGAGCATTGAAATAAAGAAATGTTGACAAAATGTCGATGTGTTGATGTCGGATACGATATATTTGCGTTGAGGGCGTTTCAATTCCGTACAGTAAAGTTAAAAACAAACTCCGCTCCAAAGGTAGTGTGACGTCATGGATACTCACAGCGACCACAGACACAGAGCTTTCGTATAACAATATATTATTAACAAGAAAACAAAACAAATATTACACCTTAATAATTCTACTTAAACCCGTAGCTCTGATAGACCTACTAATCCCTGATCGCGGAGCGTCAAACCCGATTGAAGATGGTTTTGATTGTGGCCATCCGCACTCTACTTTTGAAGGCGCGCACAAAGCCTAGCTTCCGTGACCGGATGTCACGCTGGGGACACAAAAGTCCGTTCTGCGCAACCAACGGTGTTTGCCTCGATCGCAGGAGCTCTTATGCCGATTAGAATCGGCGTTGAATCGTGGCAACTCAACGACACTCTTCACCTGCGAGCACGCACACAGCATCGCTCCCCCGTGACCGCAGTCACCCCAAGACATTAAAGGTCCGCAGCTCGTCAACAAATGACTCCAGCCTCGCGGCCTGGGCTCGGCATATGCACCGTCCTTGCGCCAAGTTTGTGGCCACACGCACGAGGTTCTACCCACACCGTTCTCCAGAACCTGCCTTACTGGCTCGCTACACGTGTTATTATAGGCGGAGGCGCCACGTGACCTCCTAGTCACGACCACCCCCTTCGCTGTTATAACAGTGAAAAGCAGGATGCTATAAGCCGAAACACCCAAAGCCTGTGTCTCCGTTCCGCGTTCTTCCCTTTACGGAAAAAACCCTAAACCTTAGTTCCTTTTGTGGGCGAGACTAAATCCGCAACAAGCGTCCCCAAATAGATGCCACAGGGCACGCTGGCTGAACGGTTACAGGTAGCAAACATTGTATGCCTTATTGTAAAATATTGGTAGCAGTCCTTTTAGAGACTACATGCAATATGGGCCTATATAACTAAAGATATTCATATTAGAGAATATTAATAGGACCTGCGGCAGCGAAAAGGTGCTGAACCAATTCACACAGAATGGTTTTCGAAATCGAGCCGCACCTGCGCAAGGAATAAATAAATAAATAAATCTTCTCTCGTTAAACATCTGCGATAAATTACATATTTTTAATAAAAAGTCTTCAACAACTCTGGAATAATACAGTTATTGTGTATACATAACAGTGTTTTTTTTAAAGTTGCTTTTCATCAACGCGAAACATGTGAATAGCAATATCTTTTATGTCGGAAGACTCTCATTCCTTGAAGACTTGCCAGTGCATGACGTTAAGCCGTGTACACTCACGCACTAAGTACGAGAATAGGCAGAATAACACAATTAATATTTGACTATTTTTGAATCAAATTATCGCTGAGTAACGAAATATTAGATATGTCACAAGAAGAAAGGTTGTGTTTTTCAGTTTCTGCCTCTTGTGGTTATTTCGGAATATAATAACTTAATTCACAAAACAGAGAAATAAAGAAGACCCCAATCGCCTGCTACAAAAGCGCAAAGGGCGGGCAAGGAAATCGAGGTGCGCCGCCGCGCGGGTCGCGGCTTCGAAGCCCGCGCGGCCGCTCTCGCCGGGGGCGGCGCATTACCCATACCGCCGCGTCAGGAAGAGGTTCCGGCGGCAGTCCGCGCGCCCATTTTGCGCTTGCGCAACGCCCTGCGCGCGACGGGTTCTGGGCGGAGAAAGCGGCGGAGGTGGTGGTGGTGGCGGAGGAGAGGCGGGAGGAGGAGGCGGCGGCGGCGGTGGCGGTTGGCGCGGCGGCGGCGGCGGCGGCGGCGGCGGGCGGGCGGCGGCGCGGCGGCGGCGCGAAGGCAGTGGAGGCGGCGCCGAGGGCCGCGCTCGGGAGTCGCGCCCGCGGCCCGAGGGTTCAAGGTTGCCCCCGCTTCCGTCTCCGCGTCACGTCGCCTCGCGCGTCTGCCTGTGGCGCGCACGCCCCGCACACGGCGCTATGACTCCGCCTTTCTCCTCGCACGATGCGCCGCCGCCAGAAGTTCGCAGGTGCATTGATACTGCAGCAGGCCCCGCCGCGAGGGGCCTCTAACAGATTTTCAACATAATATTTTGATAGTTCACAAATATTTTAAATATTTTAAATTTAATTATTTTAATTTTTAAAATTTCCAAATTATGGCTTATTTTTTTAATCATGATTTCATTATTTTACATCATTTTTTTTATTATTAAGGGACCCCATATTTTGGTCATGGTTAGGGTTTCCAAAAATATTAATCCGGTCCTGCCAAACATGCACGCATACCAGTGAATATTCGTGCGTTGGTTGCCTGAAGATAGTTAATGTCGGATTAGTGCTCCCTAAATATAACACGCAGTGCCTATTGCGTATGGAGGTAATGCGTGGTTTTTCTCATTGAAATACTTCAAACAAATTCCTTAGTCACACTGGCAAGTCGGAATTTTCGACCTAATTCGGACTTTTTATTATTGGATTCGGAGAAAGTAAAGAGGAAGACATCTTTTCCTTTGGAAAACAGATTTAGATCCTTAAAAAATGTGGAGTTTCAGTCGTTATGTTTGTGTGGACGGTGTGACAAGTATTATTATTTCAGCTCGAGATCTTTGTCAAACTAACATTAAAGCACAAGAAAATCGAGATAGAGATGAAAGTAATAAAATCGGAAAACCAAAGACGATATACGTTCAAATATTTGTCGAGGCTGCATAGCAGGCTGGTAAAACTTTCCCAAATAATGAAGACCGAAAACCA